GGCTCAGCGAGTCAGCGGGTGCCGCTGACTTGCTGACGATGTCCAAATAACAGCTCAGCGAGTCAGCGGCACCCGCTGACTTGCAGAGATAGCCCAGGATGACATGCTAAATTGGCAACTACTCGGAACAAGTGAATGTGTTAGTCATCGTCACCAATTCTGTCCCACTTGCAGGTGACGTGGGTTGTGGGACCCCGTGCACCTGCGAGTCAGCGGTACCGCTGACTTGCAGGGGCAGTGCTTCCGCATTGGTTTTGACTTGCAGGTGCAGGGGGTCCCCAGACCCCTGCACCTGCGAGTCAAAAAAACATGCCAGACCCCTGCCCCTGCGAGTCAGCGGTACCGCTGACTTGCAGGGGCGGTGCCTCGGGGGACCCCATGCACCTGCGAGTCAAAACTTGTATTTTTCCACTGGTGCATTCAAGATTGCATTCTTTAATATTCTTTTCAAAAAAATATGAACCTTGAGACTTTTTTCCTATCCCTGATGCTGCTTCCTTCCTGCCAGTTGCAACTGAGGTCGGTGACGGCTACGCTGGGGCAATATTTGGACTACACTGGAGCAATAACTCTCCTGAGCTTGACACTTGTCAGTGACAAACTTGAGTCGTAGCCTGCCGTGTCAGTGGCGTTTTCATATTGTCAGTGTTCATATTATGTCAATGACTCGTTTTTGATTTGATTGCTGTGTCCACCAGTCTGGCTCACTATCAGCTATCATATATCACTGTCAGCTGTCTTCTATCATGGCTTCAGGGCGAATGCCAGGAGACTTTTGGCCTCGTTGTGTTGGTTGGGCTCCTGGCGGTCATGCTTCTGATGGTGAGCAAGATGCTATGGTTGAGAACCTTGAGGACAATCAAGACGAACGTGCTTCTGACCCTCCTTCAACTCCTCCAGATTCAGAGGAGATCCGTGCGACGAAGAAGAGACTCAGTGTGATGAAGAAACCCAGTGTGATGAAGAAACCCAGTGTGATGAAGAAACCCAGTGCGATGACAGAACCGCAGTCGGAGCCGGAGCTCGAGAATGATCTGGCAAAGAAGCGGCTGGCCAGTGCAATGTCACCAAGGTCACCCGTCAAGTATTTTCCCAAACAGAAAAAACCTCAGGCTAAACCCAAGGCACGTGGGAAGTCCGAGGAGAAAGCGAAGGCCTCAGCAAGTGGGAAGCCCAAGGAGACAGTGAAGGCCTCAGCAAGTAGGAAGCCCAAGGCCTCAACAAGTGGGAAGCCCAAGGAGAAAGTGAAGGCCCCAGCAAATCCAGAGAAAGGTTGTAGCAAATGCCGATACAGAGGGTGCCGCGCATGCAATTGGCGAGGGTGTGATCGTGGCCAAGATGATGGCAATGACAAGGGTGACAACAAGAAGGATGCCAGTGACAAGGACGCCAACGGTGATGGCGAAGAGTGAAAAGCTGGCGATCCTTAAGTTGGGCAAGTCTGTGACCACTGAGTCATATGAGTAGACTTTGCAGCAGTAGACTTCTGAGACTTTGTGTGTCACTACGGACTAATTTTGTGTCATAGACAGTGATTTACAGCCAGCATCTGTCGACCAATGCGGCGTGACTGAGACGAGGTAATGGTGGAAAACAATCCTGTCAGTGTCAGCCAGTGTTTGATGAATGTTTTTGAATGGTAGAGTCCGTCAATGTCAACCAGCTCTTTTGATGTAGTCCTTGTGTCAACCAACTCCTGAACTCTAAGGTCATGTCTACTAAGAGAAAAAGATCAATCACCATTGGGTCAGACTGCAGCGGCATCGGCACCGATGCTGTCGCCGTGTCCAGATTGAAGATCCCATTTAGGAATGTCTTTGCCAGCGATACCAACATGCATTGCAGAAGGCTTCTGGAATGAAACTTGGACTGCAAATTCAGTGGAACCCCGGGTTGTTCCTTTGTTTTAGTTTTGAAGTTCAAGCGTGACATGCTTTGAAATATGTAATGTTTACACACACTGGATGTCAGAACATGACTGAATCTGAGTGACTGATGTGGTCTTGTTATCTTGTTGGATGGATGCCATGCTTTGAGGTCAGGCTCATGCACCAGAGCTCCTTCTTGACGATGCCATGGCCAAAGTGGCCAAGCCATCCGTGTCCCTGTACACGTGTGGCTTTCCCTGCCAGCCTTTCAGTCACCTGGTGATCCATTCAGTCATTGACTTTGTTTTTTCACGTCACACACTTAATTTAAGTTCTAATTCATTCGTGGCCGCTGTCCATCGTGAATCTTGTTGCAAGTCATTGAACCACCGTTGAGTTTGAAGGTGAGGATGCTGTTCTCTGAGGCGCAGCTGGAAAACATGAAGGAATTCGTGATGCGAGAGCCGGCGTGCTGGATGGGATTCTAAACTACATAGCCAACAAACAACCCACGACCTTTGTCCTGGAGAACGTCCCAAGGCTGATGGGGAAGAAGCACCGATGCTATTCTCAATCAAGATTGTGGTTTGCTGTTAGCAAGCCTTGTAAAGTTTCACTTGCTAGCAGTGGTGTTCCCAAATTGGTGAGTTGTGCGTCTGAGGAAAACATTTCAATGCCATTGTCCGCCACCTCATGAACATCAAGAAGAATGGCGTGAATGTTTACCATGTGGCCTGGAAGATCGTTGACAGTCGACGGTTTGGACTTCCCCAGAGGAGGAGGCGCCTTTACATATTAGGATCCCCTTGGGCGAGGAAACCTCCAAAAATGAAGTCCAAGTCAATGAAGATGAAGCCGCTCACTGAGTTCTTGAGCCAGGGGCGCAAGAAGGAAAAATATCCCCGCCACTTGGATGCAGAAGATAACTTCCACCCCCAATTCCCTGACACCACTTTTCAATGGCTTTTGGGACAAAGTTAGCCCAAACAATGACGACTTCCTTCTAGCTGAGGAAGTTCCACTGCACAGCGCAACTTGAAGTCTGGTTTTGCAAGGTTGCGAAGTTCTGGGCTGAAACCCTCGGACAGTGACTCTGTGATTGACATAGGAGCCAGCAAGAAGTTCCGGGTTGTCACCACCGGCTTTGTTGGAACATTGACAGCAAGCCGCTGCGCTCAGCGAGCCTTCTGGCTCACCAAAGTGGCTGCCTCAGCGCTTGTGAAAAACTCATGTGTAGTAGGTACGACAGTGACTGTTCTACTCAAATTTGGACGACAGTGACATTGATCGTGTGACAGCTTCAGCACTATTGATTCTGCAGCTTTGATTGTTGTCAGTTGTTGTCTGGATGTATCACCAGCCTCCAGCCCTCACCCTGGTCAGGAACACCGCCGAATGACACCGGCGGAGATGGCTCGGCTCCAGGGGTTCAAGTCAGGTGACATCCCATGGAAGGAGGCTAAGACCCCAAAAACGGCCAAAGGCCACCAAATTGGCAATTCGATGGCGGTGCCAGTGCTCCAAGAAGCCATCAGGGCAGTGCTCGCAGCTGCTGGGTTTCTTGAGTCCTGATGGTCTTTGACCTTTTGAGACAGTGTCATTGACATAATAGGGATTTGCTAATTAGTGCTGTAGTTCTCACTGCAGGCATCCACTTAGCTGCATCGGGTGAAAATAGTGAGCCTTGCTTGAGCCTCAATGAGACACCATTGACTGACATTGACATACATTGATAGTTTAGTGTTGGGCTGACATTGACACTTTCTTTCGCTTGCCAGCCAGCCATTAGTCAGTGACATTTTTCCCATCAATTTTGTCTTTTGAAGCCAGTGTCTGATCCAATGAGATTCAGGTAGATGACAATGACTGATTCACTGGATTGTTTTGAACCTTTGTTTCTTGTGGCTGGACATCTTGTGTACCAGTGTCTTGGTGTGGGCGCTGGGTGCCTTTGCTGTACGACACCATGGCACCGAGAGCAAAGAAACGAGCAGCTGTGGGTGCTGATTCTGCAGCACTGGCTTTGGGTGCAGGCCGTGAATATGCCTTGTCAGTCATTATCACCGTTGTCATTGCCCCATTTGCTATGCCCCCATCTGCGCAGGGGAACCTTCCGATGTACAGACTCGAGCCCTCAATGTGGA